GGGTTTAGGATCTTCCGGGTGTACACAGTGTCGGAATTAGATCTGGTAATGCTGGTAATGGACATTTTAGAGGGATATTGAACATAAAAAACGACGTCCAACGTTTAAGTAAACTTCAGTTTACACAAAACGTAACGAAAGTCATACCACTTCTCTAAATTTAGTACCAAAGCATGTGATCTCATGTGTGTGTACACTAATTATGTTACGTTACTCACATTTCAAGTGTGTTCTTCAGAATTCCCAGTCAAAAATCTCTGAATATCACGTGAGACTATTCGGTATAGATAATGACGTGACTTACATGTAAGGTTTGATAGATCAGATAGTTACATTATGACAAGTCCACATTTTTTGACTGGGTTTATTATTCTAGCAGCATGCATAAGTGTTCTAATAACAACCTAGGACGTAACTCTACAACCCCGTGAAATACGCAGACCATCACTTCCAGTTGAGATTCAGAGACAAACAATGCACAATATTAAATGACGTAACTCCGGAAACACTCAAACCTACGCGGTTTTCCACTGTGCTTGACAACACTTTTTTCCGAAAAATTTCTTAACTGCGGATTCCAAGGTTTGTCGAATCAAAAGAACGAGGGAGTTGCAAAACGTTTGATAGATAGTTGGCGCATTGAGTAGTACACGATGTGAACTTGTAGAAGTATGGTCTACCATGATATTAGTACCGTTCCAATAGTAAACTTAATCGTAAAATTGTAGATTTGTCAAGATGTAACTGCCTAATATACAAGATCTTAGGTAGAAGTCACATCATTATCCACACCAGCTAATCGCGTCGTAACAATCATCAATATACGATGAAAAACACACTTAGGCCAGGGGTGGAACATTATATTTAATATGAATAAAAGGTATGTGTCAAAACTCAAGGCCGATCCATACTACCCGATGGATTCAAACTAACTCAATTCATTGCTCCCTGCCTTCTCTATCGCTGGGTTTTTCTCTGCATTGGATGTCGCATATGTATTTTCCCAGTTGTCTCGTGTTCAGCTTTGAGGATTGTGCAGTTAGGACCCAATGCCACTACAAGCTGACTATTTGTTATGAGGGTTGAGTAGCACAGGGCCTCAAAACGGTATTCAGTGCAGATGGCTGGTCAAGCGCCCCCAGATAAGAGTATGCCCAGTCGACGTCAATGTGAGAAATTTACAAGACTGTTCATGATGGGAATTCATTTACTGATGCAAACCACTGCTCTTAATGGAGTGGCGAGGACCTTAAGATGTGACCAAGTAGACAGTTCGAAGCAACGCGTTTGCTTTTGATATGCATTCGTATGATCACTTGCTACGTCCAGCTGCGTCTGCTTGTTGTGTTTTTACTCTAAGGGGTAGTAAGATATGCAGAAACAAATGAACAAAAAAGGTTCAATTCATTGTGATCACCTCTCCCGTTTTTCTACTTTTCTAGTCATGCTGGATTAGAAAGATACGGTGAGTTATCTGCGGTACACATATTCAGTTTTTACTTAGGAGCGTATCTGAAGAAACACTTCCAGATCATATTTTTTTCACATCCGTGAAAATCTAACTATCATGTGTTTAACCTATTCCAGTCATAAGCATAATCAGAGTTTAACCGAAACCTTACTCAGCTCACATAGAAGCTTTGAGTTTACAGTTTACACAGTATAAAACGATATAGATTGCGGTGGTAAATAAATTCCTGAAATAAATTGTTCTGTAGGTTTTTAACAATGATGAAGACCCCTAATAGTTTTATCGTATGGACCACCAGCTGAAGGAAGTAGGTGAGGCATCCTCACCAGATCACGAACAAGTACACCGTGCTACTCATCCCTGGTAACTATCAGCAAGCTTAGATCAAACAGTTATCGACAGGCCGAATATTTCCTAAGTGTACCCTCGAACTCTCATTGTTTGCTTCCATTTTAACTAGGTTTTGAATATTTCAATTATAAAGGTGTTATGGGCAAAAACATCGTCGAGCTGTGAACATTCGTGTAGTCCTTAGGACAACTTAGTTATATGCTACCAAATCACTCATGATCTTCAACTGGAGAGATGACTTACATGCTATACAACCGAACCAAACTTCATTGAAAAGTCATTTTGAATATAGGAGAACCGAAAAATGTCATAGATATTCAGGATTTGAAAAGGACGTCGTCTGTAACACCTGTGTAATCGAACGATATCAATGCAGTCAAATCAGGGATGACTGAATTCAAAGACATATTTTGGAAGTTTGTCAATATGTTGAGAAGCGTTTGAGGAGAAAAGACAAGTGTACTTATACTGACCTAGACAATGATCCTACAGCCTTACTCTCCTCTCGTAGAGCGTTGTTTTGAAACGGTTTTTGGATTCCTGAGTAGTTTTATCGTAGTCGCTTGCTATCATTGATGGTGTCCAAATCGGGAAGCTTGTGTCGCCCAACCGCTCAGTAGGAAAGTCGACAAAATTAGGGTTTCCTTGTAAGTAAGATGCATTAAGACGGTCGATGCGGACGTTATCCGGAGTTCCATTCTTATAGTACTTAGCTTTGTACTGACAGACTTTGAAGGGTCCCACGTATTCAGTCAACAGTAGTATACATAATGAGTCGTGACGCACAAAAACGCATACACAAAGTCGTACGGTTGGTCGGATGACACACCAGTTAACTGCAGTGTAGTAGGAATAGATTTATCAACAAAGGTTTATGGAGATAATTAAGCTTTGATTGAAATCATAAATCGATCGACGTTAGATCATCAATGAAGACCTGGAAGCACTGGATGCCTGTGTTGTACTAGTACGGGACTCATAAATATTGCATATCCCTCAAGCGGAATGCGTACCTAGGGCCTCTGACCTCGTTCTCAAACGATTAGTCTCTAGACCATTGTGCTGAAATCCGACAGTGTCACTGTCCAACTTCGACCAATTCGCGATATTACCGGACCATCGTTCATGGTCTTTGATTTACAACCACCTTACACTCGACATGGTTGGACTCCATTGGTCATGACTTCTGACTAGAACTCTGAGAACTACCTCTCATAGATGGTCATCCGTTAGCACATGATGACCATTAGTGTAAGGTTATTGGTAACTGCCTCACACCCAACATGATTTCGGGCAACGCCTCTACGAGTTACAACCTTATAATCGACGGATACCGACCCAGTCAAATCATAAGTCAGGGATGATTGAATTAAAATACATATTTGGAAGTTTGTCAGTGTGTTGAGAAGCGTTTGATCTAAACTCGCCATTAGTTTTGGGGTCTGTGAAACACAGAAAACTCACTCATGATCTAGCGTGGATGCGTGACCGAGCACATTCATCTAGATTTTGTCCAAGAAAACTATGGAAATCTTCGTTATTGTTAAAGACTTACAAAACTATTTATTTTGGAGATTGCTAAACGCTGTAAGTTCACACAAAGGTCATTGCAAGCATTTCTGCAGTTGAAATTAGTAGTTTGCAGTGAAGATGGCACAGGTATTCAGTGTTTGACAACGCTTTTACCAGCAACACCTAATATAATTTGTACCCACCAAGCGAAATCAAAAGACAGAATCAAGGAGATCGGAAGAGTGTATTTGGCGATTACCAATATATCGGAATTCTCTGATCTAATCTGGCTAGAGATTGCGATAAATGTTGAGCACAGTGTTACCACACGTGATCTGGTGCGGATGCATGACCGAGCGCCTTCAGCTAGATGAGTCCACTAAAACATATGGTCAGCATCCAATGTCGAAAACCTACAGAGCTATTTAGTTTGGGGATTTATTTACCGCTACAGTAGGAAGCCTTTCTGTGGGGGATTGTATTAAAATTTTTTATTGATGTTTTAGAAAGAAGTTTCGTTGTTTGCTTGATTTTAATAGATACCTAAGCGGTTATGTTATGTATTACTTCTAGATCGCATTATCTGATGTTCATCAAAAAGAGAAATACGGTGGTGCTTATTTACTGTAGCGATGAACATTGGAACGACTAGCTTGGTCTATTCGAACAACGTCATTGTGAGCATTAAACTTATAAAACAATTGCCAGACGCTAAATGAGCAAAAGCAACAGCGAAATTACCTAATCCATGCGAATAGAAATGAATAGGAAAATACAATCATGAAAACACACTTAGATTAGACATTTGTTCAAGGCCTAATAATCTTAACTCATGTCCAATCGTTACCTCTGGTTTTAACCTTTCAGATAAGAAAAAAAAAACAAAATGTACATCTTATTTAGTCAAGAAGGATCTAATATTACATACGAGAAGACTTTCAGGAACTAATTTTTCTCTGCTTTCTTCATCAGAGTTTGAGTTTTGAAATGAACTGACAAAAATGCCTTTCGAGCAAACCTTGCACTGGTAACATTAAAGCGCATTTTTGGCCAGTTTGATGGTAGAACTTTCCATATAATCTTCGACAGTTTTATACATTCCCATTTAGAGTACGGAAACATAGTATTTCCTCTCTCACTCCAAAAGGATAAGGACACTGGAGCGTATCCAACGGCGAGCCACGAAATCAAATTTAAACCTTATGAAGAGCGCCTCCAATCACTGAACCCTTACCCATTAGAGTGTAGGCGTCCTAGAGGTGACCTTCTGATGGCTTACAATATCCTTAACACTTCTGGACATCCTCTTAAACACCAACTTAAGCTTAGTCTCAATACAAACCTATGGGGTAACACCCAGAAATCGGAGACACAACATAGGGAACGGACTGTAGACACAACTTCTACTCCCTAAGAATTGTCAAATGCAGGAATTCGCTGACGGCCGAGCTGGTCCAAGCGACTTCCTAGGAGCCCTTTAAGAGGCAACTTGATTTATTCTTAAGGTCTAAGGATAGTATCGTACTACGATTTACCAATTTCTTTTTCCGCTTTTATCGTTAACATAAATAGGTTACTGCCTGAAAGTATTTATGATCCCCTGCTACTCAACACGAAAGCCTGTTAAGCGAAAACTTCTATTCCGTCCACAACCATTTGAACCATTGGAAGTTTGAATGATTACATACTATTGAAGGTCATTGTTTCCTCATGGCAAGTACCGTTTCATAATATAGGAATGGTCTGAAGATTTCCTACTTAAAGCTTTTAAGAACAAAATTTCGTATCATCCTCGAACCGAACAGTCCAAGTCAAAAGATTCTACGCTGATTTTTTGGGTGCTAATAGCTTCCATTTTTGATCGTCAGGTCGATGCGTAACTCAAAACTTATTATTAAAATGTTGAATAACGTTTTATACTGTTATAAATTTCATGTGGGATACTAAAAAGGATAATGTGTAGGGAATGTGGGTGGATATCGTTAAATAATGATGTATATCATTTTTTATCATTTATTTTCAGGTTTGTGTTTTGAGGACAAAACCGTACGACGTGCGTTAGTCAGTTTCTAGTAAGCTCCTAAGTGTCCAGTCGTTTCTTGAATGAAATGAAGAGGCGGACATCATTTCTTCGGGTTGCAGGTTCCAAGAATAGATGAATCGGTGCGAAAACCTTTATCTCAGTTCGTTCTTGGCTTTTGTACTCGCCTGGTATGTCCTCTGAAGTGTCTTGATCTGATAAAAAAAAGATGTATCAGGTCTGAAATCATTGTCTGTTCTATACATCTGCGGTAGTACAGAGTTAAGAGATCTAGTTACTCAAGGCTTTCTTTGTATGATGAACCGGGGAATTCAGGAATTACATATTTAGTTTCTCCGTGTAATTTTCCCAAGATGCCCGTGCCACCTTTAAAACAGGAACTTGTAGCATGGACACAGTTTCCAAGTTTGGATCTCACTAATGTTATGTATACCGTAGTGAACATATAAGTATCTAACTTGGTACGGACTCTACTCTGTACCTATTTGCCTTTATATCCCCAATGTTCATGTACACACGTGACCGCGTTGATAAGCATCAGCCATGTTTTAGACCAGGTAATTAGAGCACCTAAGTCCTTCTGAAGTGCACATGCATCTGCGTCTCCTGTTGTTTCTCGTCAGATCTTTGCATCAGCGTGTAATACCAACGAGGACTCGACTATACTTGGAAGTTCATGTAAATATCGTATAAAATGCAAAGTATCTAGAACAGTCTCGCGTTACTTCACTAATTACTGTTTCTCAGGAGGAGCATTTAGAATTTCAGTCTTCAGTAATAAGGATAGGAGGTCTGTCGACCTATATTAATCCTTGCAGTTTGTAATACAGTGGAGGTCCAATCTCGTTTTGAATATATTAACAGATGGTGCTGATATTACGTGTTCCGGTAGAGAATTCCAGTAATTCACTACTCGGTGCGAGAAACGGAACTCCAGACGTAAACGGTTTGATCTCGGTTTTTGAACTTTCTTCGAATGTCCTCTCAAATGAACGGTTCTAGACGGGAGCAAAAGATAAGACATGTTAATACCAAGGTCATCGTTTAGTATACGATAGGCCAATATTAGATCACCTCGTATTCTGCGATAAGATAACGGAAATAAGTTGTCTCAGTCTGTCTTCATAAGATAGGCCAGATAGACCTTGTACCATTTTAGCAGCTCGTCGTTGAACTCTTTCTAGCATTTCCCCCTTATATTTGAAGCAAGGACACGCTGCTTGAATCCTATATTCTAAATGTGGTCGCACATAAATCGGGTATAGTAATCTAAACATTTCATCATCTAAATACTGGAAAGACCTACGAATTGACCATAATACCCTATAGCCTTTCGCAGCAGCAGCCTTACAGTGACTAGTCGTTTTGAGATCATTGCTTAATATGACTCCTAAATCTTTATAGTTTATTACTTTTGGTAGCACGAATCCACGTAGTGTATAGTCATACGATTCATCAGAGTTACTTAACTGCATCACTACACTCTTATTAGGATTTACTTCTAGTGACCACCTATCTAACCATGCCACCAATGAGCTAAGATCGTCCTGTAATACTATCCTATCCGACATACTATGTATGGGTCTCCAAATCTTTATGTCATCAGCGAAGAGTAGAACGGATGATTTTGCTACAGTTGGCAATTCATTTACATAAAGTAAAAAGAGAAGAGGACCCAGGATTGTACCTTGGGGAACCCCACTTTTTACAGGTACCCACGAGGAGAGAGTCCCATTAACCCTTACCCTTTGTCTCCTGTCATGGAGAAAGTTACTTATCCAATCGACGACTGTATAATGAATTTATCCGTACTTTTTGTCCACAGTCTACCAAACATACCTGATCTACACTAGGATAGGTCATTAAGTTGTTAGATTTCCCAGCAACATGAGTGGTCTCGCAAAGTAATGGTATTTGGTATATTGTCTAAGCTACTTCTACAACCTTGTCCAAGTAGTAAATAATGATGTCATTTTTCAATAATTTTCTGTCTCAGTCATTATATTGTATGTAATGTCCCCATTGGGAAACGTGGCCGTAGTATTAAGGGTTAAATCCCATTTTTGGTCACATCGCATCATCCCGTGCCATTTATCGATCGGGATCACACTTAATTTTAAAAACCCAGGACTCGTTCATATGAAATTGAAGTTAGACATCGTTGGATGCCGGCTCAGTGGTCTAGTGGTTAAGCGCTCGCGCGCAAGACATGGGTCCTGGGTTCGAATCTTGCAAGGCGAGATCGTGGATGCGCACTGCTGAGAAGTCTCATGGAAGGACGAAACGACCGTCCAGTGATTCCAGGTTCTCCATGGTGGTCTATCTTCAATTGACTCACAATCTCAACTATTAAGATTACTATAATATCCACAAAAACCCCTTCTGATATGGATCCTTAATCGTAACGGAAACGTAAATCATTGGGTTTAAAGTGTGTTTTAAATGTGTTGTGCATTTTCAAGGAGTTCGTAACTATGAAACAACTATTCGGTGATTCCTGCCCATAATACTTCGCTAACATACCACATATGTTAATAAGCAGTTTTGTTCATCATAGGTTGATCAACCCAGTAAAACTGACTACTTGCTGTTGTAGATTAAAAGAGCCTACAAATGTGTGGTGGTTTTTTACTCTTCCTTCAAATGTGTTGTTCTTTCCGTTAATAAGTTACTGTTCAAGCCTAAATCGGTTGTACAACGTGTATGAGCAAAGAGCACAACTTTCGGCTATTCTGTTTAGATTTTGATCCTACCCTTCCGTTTTCCTAATGAAACATTACTCCTAGCCTTTTATTAAGGACGTCCAGCTCCCTCGAAATCCCATTTCACTCGCAAAAAGAGTATATCCATAAGTCGAGTACATATCTGCTTACTCTGCTTCTATATGTATCCTTTTCTATATTTTTACGTTTTTTCTTAGTCTTACGTTATTTGTTTAGCTGTTTCAAGTAGAAGTTCTTGTCCTACCAATTAAAATGAATGAAATATCTAGTCTTAGTTCCTTGCGTAAAGTTCGGTACTTGTGTTTAATAACAAGACAAAGAATTAATTAAGGTTAGGACAATTTATTATTGATGAATCTCATGTTAGGTTTAACTCAGTGATTCTGTTTTTTTAAAAATCTCCATCTAAACTCTTACACGTTTTTAGTCTTTGTGTACTTATTTGTAGCATGATTTGTAACCTAGCAAAATATAAAAATAGTTTATTTTAATTGTAACTAGAGCTTTTAACGTAATTGACATTGTATAGTTTTCTGGTTATTTTCAGGCACTAAAACCCTATTTAAACGCAGTCAGGCACACTCTAAATGCAGCATTATGTGTTCAGAATTTTTCTTCACAAGTTGTTGAACGTCACAACAAACCTGAAATAGAAGTTCGAACCTCCAAGGAACTACTACTAAACCCCGTAATTATTAGTCGGAATGAAAAAGAGCGGGTATTGATTGAAGGGTCAATTAATTCAGTTCGTGTCAGCATTGCTATCAAACAGTCTGATGAAATTGAAAAGCTACTTTGTCGAAAATTCACTCGATTTATGATGACTCGTGCAGAAGACTTTGTTATACTTAGGCGTAAACCTGTCCCTGTAAGTTCATATCTCTGATCATTTAAAGTTAACCTTAAAACCTCATTTCCTATTTTTGCTGCAGAAAAACTACAAATTTGTTTCCTTTTTAATATTTGCTTGTTATTTGCACAGTTCAGAAAAAGCCCTGATAGTTGACTATGACTTCCCATCTTGATTTTCTATCATGCGATAGTTTATTAATCCTATTCAAACTGTCTGAATCACCGAGAAGAATTCCTCATTGTGAAAAGAGAGTTCACAATATTTACTCCCATAGTTTTCTATTAGTTTCTTAGCTTCTGATTGTTATCTCCTTAACCTTAGCCAAGGTACGTACACCTTTAGTCACACCTGTATTGTGAGAACAGTCCAGAGTCCCTATGTAACTTAACTACACTGAGACATTATTCCAACATGTTCTTTTAATGTTCCTTGAATAAGGAATCGTAGAATATATTTCTTTTCCACACCTGTATGTGTTTACTGTTAGTGTGTGATTGATATCCGTTGACTCGACCATGTAATATCGTTTACTTAATTACCGCTAGTTCAGATTTACATTCATGCACATCAACAGATCAGGTTCTATACAAGTAATCAGAAAGCAACATTGACCATTTCACTATGGAATAATAAACTGACTAAAATATATTTTGAATACGTCAGTACAGCTTCAGATTTTCATGTTTTTAGGTAGTGCATATATTAATCAACTTGAAAGACTTCAGTGTATCGACTTCATGTCCTGTGTCAAGGAGATGTCTTACGATGGCACTGCTGAATGCTTTTAATCCATTTGATCTTAAACTTTTCGGAATATATTCTTTGGATCGGACGTAGACTCTTCTTCCTGGTCTACCAATGTAACTTCTTTTGCAGACACATGTAGATTTGTGTACACATTTGGTGGGATACATGTTGTAAGCAGTTGATGAGAACCTAACGAAATAAAATGAATTCATATTATTCTGCACCAATTTTTGTTCTTGCTCTTTTTAAGATAATAAAGGGAACTATGTGTATAAAACAAGTTTCTTGACATATATCCCATAGATCTATGAGTGCGTGACATGAAATAAGTATCTATGTATACAAAATTTGTTTGTTTTTGTTTATTTAAATTAATGCTCACAAATAGACATCAAAATAAATATGCACCACAAAAATACGAAAATGGCAGCGTAAAGAGATATAAAAAGGAGTCGCTGTACTGGAAGTAAATAAAAATAAGTGAACGAGAATGGTGTATGCTAGGAGAAACGGTCTGGTTTGAAAACATACGAACAGGAAGAACTTTTTGTCAAGGGAATTCCTCTCAATTCTATGAAGTGTAAAAGAACTACAGCAGGATAGCCATTGGCTTTTATTATTATGAGTCGTGTATGACGACTTCTTGAGTCACTGAGTTGTACAATCCTTGGGGCCCCCAACCAAGGAGCCGTGATAAACCAATAAATGCCAGTCCTATACAACTTACTTTCATATCACGGGTCTGATTAGCTTCGATCAGTTTGCAATTATTTTTTGTCATTTGTTTATCTAATTAGTTCTTCTGATACTAGTGTTGCCTTTTATATTTCACGATCTCATTTTTTACTTTCATCCTTAGTTGTTTCTACCCATAAATCCCATCTTATTTGTGTTATGTTACACATAATCAAATACAGATTAATATATATGTTAGTTTGGTTAACTGCTGTTCATTAGCAAGGTCTCAGAAAATATATAAAATCGTGACAAACTAATCATTTATGGAATAGAAAGGATAAAATTTACAAGTGGTAGTTTTAAATAGTTGTATTTTAATATTACCAATGTATGGTATCTGGTTTTTGACTAAATTTCATTCATTTTATCAGTTGTTAGTAATATTCGTTCAAATTTAGACGAGACATTTTATAAATATTAATTGTTTTGTCTTAGTTTTAGAACGGTCATTAGCTCATTGCTTGTTATCCATATAAAAAACTTACGTTGTCGAAACTTCTTTTAACTGTTTTTTGGTTATCGATTAACTTTTTAGCTTAGGGATCCTTTGAAATGTCTGTCTGATCGAATTATAATTTGTATTAGATGTTCTGTCTTCTGGGGTAGTTTGCAAGACTTTTTTAAATTTCATTTTTGCAAACTGGGGCTAGTAATTGCAACTCATTCGAGTAAATTAATTCCTCCGTAGAAATTTACTTCCTCATTTGATGATGATTCAAGGCAATAGTGGACCTAATTTAGAGAACATCAGAAAGCTGTAAATAACGTACAGAAGATAGATATTCAATGAAGCTAAAGATCATCATTATTTGAAACGAACAAGTCCAACATTAGGATTGATACCTGCTAAGTTAAAGATCTATAGTTATTTACATTTTTGTTGTATTCTCCTGTTTTGTTCGTGTCACTTCCTGGAGGGAATAAAACTAATAATGAAAGAGTTCAATAACCTTGATGTTATTTTGAAAGCTTGTCCTGTGAAATTGTTAAAAAGTTGTATGATATACTGTTTTTCTCTGAGTTAAACCCATTTTCTCATACTATCCTTTGGTTAATATATTTTAAAGTACTTTAAAGCTTGGTGTTAATTTAACGTATGATTCCTTTGATTTTAGGGTGCATAAAATGCATTTGTTGTAGAAGGGTTAATATAATTCCTATGTAAAGATGTCTATTTCATGTCTCCTAGAGCATAGATTAATTGAAATAAGTGGTCCATTCGTTAGTATTTTTAGCTTACGATATAACTTTTGTTAATATAAACTGATTTTTTTTCCGTTGGACTTGTCGATAATCGTTTTTTTATGTTATCTACATTTCGGCCAATGTATTACTTTGAATCTGTTGTAGATTTGCTTGTTGTATGACTTATTTATTTTTTGGTGTAAGTTGAAGACGCCAAGTTTCTTTGATTATTGATATCGTTCGAAATTTTACCACATCAAGGTTTTGTTAGAAATACTTTCTCGTCCTATAAATTTCACTCACTCACATCCCAATCATTCAGATTAACAACATGTAATGCATAGTTAAAATTCTATTTTCTCGTAAAGATATTTGTTTGTCTAACCTTCTGCGGTCCCGTTTTTTAAATCAAAATCCTAACATTTTTCTTTTTATGTTCCTTTCTCTATAGGGCTATGACATCAGTTTTCTTATCACTAATTTTCATACGGAACAGATGTCAAAGGCAAAATTGGTTGATTTCGTAATTACTTTCATGGATGAGATTGATAAAGAAATTTCCGAAATGCGCTTAGCAGTGAATTCTCGGGCTCGTCAATGTGCTGAAGAATTTTTGAAGGCGTTTGACTAACAGTTACTTGAAGTAATTAGTAATTTCGCTTAATATTTTGGTAATTCAAAGTAATTTTAACGACTCTTTTGAAAGTTTTTCCCCATAATTTTGTCTTTCAATTAACGTTAACTTGTAAAAGTAAAATGTTTTTATGTTAAAGTTTCAGTTTTATATATCTTACACCAAGATTTGATTAAAAAAATCCAAATCATAAAATTATTTGTAATCTAAGTTAGTTTAGAGGGAGCATGACTGGAAATTAATGTTTTCCATATTTACAAAATCAGATACAACTCACACTTCATTACCTTATGTTACTGTTTCACTCTTAGGTTTATCAAAATTAATATTATGTTATCAAGTTAATCACTAAAATATAAATACTCACTTATTGAGACGAATTATGGCAATTTGTATAGACTTGGTCGAAACTGCTTACTTTAAAATGAAAATTCTTGAGATTCACTAAGAAAATATAATACAACACCTTTGTCGTTTGCTAGTTATTTGTAGTTCTGTTTTCTAAGCTAACTGACACATCTCATACTTATCTTTTGATAATAGTCACGTAACGAGACTTTCGTCAGTGAGTATTTTTGAGATCATTTGTTGTCAAGCTCCCTACTTATACTCATCCTGTTATTGGGACTTTAGTCAATCACTTAGTGTTCTGAAACACCTTATTTTTTCGTAGCTGGCATTCATGATAATGAAGAGGAATATAGAAAAAATCCAGTTTCGAATGATAAGTAAACCTATATTCATTAGTGAAACAGAATCTTTCGATTTTAGTGTTTATCTCTCATCCTTAGCTATATGCTTAATTAATTGATTATTTATTTAAACAAGTATTGCTACATATAGGTAGTAAAATAAGTGTCCGCTGCATAATAGGAAAATAAAACTGTTAGGATATTGAGGAAGGGTGCATATAATCTAAAACAATAAATGAATAAAAATAAGTGAACAAGATTAGTGTATTAAAAAAGTGCAAACAAAAAGAGTCCTTCCATCTAAAGAAGTTTCATTTCTATGGAGAGATTTGTGGAAGGACGCTTTCTGGCTTCTACTGTGACCTATGTCTAGTAACGCCTCAAGTACTATCTCACCCCAACCAAGTAATCGTGGCGGACATAGTGTTGTCATTAGGTGTTAGGAATCTTTTGGGGACAATGGTAATCAGACACAGAAAGCCGCTAAACATCCCCAACTCGGAGAGCACCGGTTTCTTAAGTATAGAGCAGAATATGTCTTACCGACATATTATGAACCCTATCTTTTACAGCCAGGCTAACATCGAGACGACACCAAAGATGGTTCTGATTAGCATAAACCATTTCAACCTTTGCCGAACCAGGTACCACTACCACTGTGACCTATGCTACTTATGATGACATATATAAGTAGTATGTATCAGCGATTGAAAGTAGAATACTTGTCAGCCGAAGATTGAAATACAGAGAACAGGAATATTGGAGAATATAAAGGACAACGCAAAGAAGATGTACAAAAAATGTATTCAATGTTTAATTTCCATATTTTATCAAGCCACTATGTGATTTTGCATTGAACAATAAATTGATTTTCTTCATTTGAGTTCTCTTACACTACACTAGCATTCCCACAACTAACCAGATAAACGAGTTTTTCAACTACTGGCGACCCAACATAAATAGTGGTTGTAGGCGTAGGTTCCCGCCAGTTCTGGAAAAGTACCTCATACTTGAAAGGTGTATCCTATACCTACGGACATTTATTTCTGACCGACTAAATGTTGAATGCACAGCTTGATTATCATCATGCAGTAAGACAATATCATTCATTTACTCAAGATGGAAAAGTTTATCCAGGACCACTACCTATTTCCATTAGAGTAGTTTGTAGAATGTTATCGATGTCGATGTTGAGGAGGAATAGTGAGTAACTTGCTTTCAGTTCCTCTCACTATCCATACAAACGATATTTGCTAGTGTTGTATAATGTTCACTCAAAGTATTTTCGAGAACCAAAGGAAATATTGTTAAGGAATGAGCCTTGATTTTCATGGGTATAGTCTTCATGTGTTCATACCTATGACTTTTGTAATAAGTAGTTTTCTTTGTGATTAAGGCATAATATCTTGCATTACACTTCAATAAATTAACTTTCCTGATTCATTTCATCTTCACAACGTGTATGTGACCCATACAAATTGGTATTTGACGATTATTCTCTACAATTAATTAGGACTTTCATATAATTCTAAGCTATTACTGCAGAAACTTATTCCACCGTTAAATCTTACTGCATTAACGATTTACTTTCTTACTTGTCTATTTATTTTTATTCATTTTGTAGCACATATATTACCGTTTACTCTTATTCTGTTTTCACAAACATGCTTATCAAATTCTTCACATATTTCACGTTTCTTTTCATTTTTTCCCTTTTCTTTCTTTAAAGTTAACTCAATATCCCAGATTTTACAGAACCTATTTAAATGTGGTGAATACTTTGGGGACACTATTGAAACTTTTGTATAACTTCATCTCTGAAGAAACCCAAAATGGTTTTTTCACAACACTTATGTACAAATAAGCTGTCTGTGAATAACAGTACATTTTTTTTCAAAGGATCATTGTCATAAATCACATAATGTCATTTAGAATCGGTGTGATTTTACTATTTGCAATTAAATTATTTTGTAGTAATTTTCCTATAGAAGTTCTCGCGTTTGATGAACTAGTGGACATCGGTTTTGTTTTAGATGCTTTTTATACTTTGAAATCTTGATCCTCATGAGTAAGTAGTTCACGAGTTTTAGACATTCTGAGGAGTATGTTAGGAGCCATCACATTGTACATGATTGAAGTAGGCATCCGCCGATAGTAATTGTATAAATGGCATAAAACCTTTCCAAATATTCAAATGGTTCTGGATGGGATAGAAGAAGCTTTCGCTTAACAGGCTTCCGTATCTAATAACAGTGAATCACTGACGCCTCCAGGTAGGCATATTTTACGTTAAAAAAGAAAAAGTTGGTAAATTATAGTGAGATACTGTCCTTAAGGATATGTCAGATTTTCTTGAAGAACGGGGAAGTCTCTTGGATTAGTTCAACTCTTAAGACTGAACACTTGATTCGGATTTCTAACCTCCTCTAGTCAGTCAGCCTCCCCTAGTAACCCTCATGCTAAATGCACACGAAATCGTGAACGCGAGAGAAGAGGTGCGGAGTATGGGGAGGTTGATTTACTCCAAAGCTCGTTTATGTACAGAAATTCGGGGGTATTTACAGCTTTTCTTATGGCCTTGGGCTTCTGAAACCCTTTTAAATATAGTGACAGAATAGTTATCCAGTACGGAATGTAACCCTTGACTTCAGTTTTTAAATGTATCTTGTAGACATCTATTCAATGCTAATTGGATTAAGTGTTTTCTAGTATGAACTAAGAATCCCAGAAATAACTTAATTGAACCAAGAAATACTAGATAACCACAAACGTATGTACTGTATTTAGAATTCGAAATCAAGCATTCAACAAGTACAAAGGAATCATTAGTTCATTCAAGCACCACAGGATGTTAATATTGCAGCACATCTCACATTAATTGGAAAAGAAGCACATAGTTTATTGAGAACTCTGGCTTTACTGGAAAAGCCCATTTCGCTTTGTTATACAACTCTCAAGGATCTACTGCTAGACTATGTGAAGTATACAAATTTCGAATGTGGTAAAGCAGGAAGATTTCGTAAAATGATTCAGTCGAGTCGCGGTTGACTATGATCACCACTACAAGAAGGTTGCGTACTAGATATCAGAAGGCGATTGAAGGTTGTGGCGAGCTATTTTTGTTGGCGATCTCGTGGTATCGAAAAAGTACCAAGAGAGTACAAGCGCGATCACTGAACAGACGTGTGTGCAAGGTCATAAGCAACGGGAGGAGGAGTTTCTCTAGTACAGTTAAACAAGCACAGTAAAACAATCACTGTTATAATTGGTTATAATAATTGTTTCCATTAAACCAATCCCGTTCTCTTGATTAAAGTAGGTCACTTCAGGAGCAACCCGCTAGAAAGTGTTTGCACTTTCGATAGGTAGCAGTTTCTTTCGTGGGACTGATCGGCAAACGTGCGATCGTAGGATGAAAGGGTTGGCGGAACAGGAAGTGATCGTTGATCCTCGAGTTGCCACCGAAGGTCTTTTGCGTAGAATGGTACCAGGAGAAACGTGATGTATTTGTTGCTTGAGTTAGCGTACCATACCAGGGTGGTTCATATCCAGGATCTGAGGATTGAGTTCGTAGAAGTCCAAACCAAAAAGCGCTGCAGACATAGGATGAAACCTCGTTGAGCCAAGGAACCAGAAGCGGCCATAACAACCAATTGCGAGACTAAACGCATGCTAAACAGATTCGAAACGAGAATATAGACTGAGTGCGTTGACAAGAGGGTGGGTGATCAGGCCAGCTTTCGCCAAGGTTGACTAGAGTCGACGGTATCAAACGGGCGATGGTCGGAGGCGTAGGCTCGGGATACAAAAAAATCAAAGAAAAAGAGAAACGATGTAGCATGCATGTAGTATAGGAATAGTCCCACACTGCATCCGTTGTTGATTGTGCGGTTGGTCTCAAAAGCGTACGGGTAGGCGTTCTCGGCAACCGGAACGTGAGACGGCAGTTTCGTTTGTCTTCGTGAGCCTGCTATCTCATCTGAAGTCAAGGGCGGTATGGTCTGCCGATCTGGACGTGAGACTGAAGTCTCATCTGCAGATGGTGCAGATGGCACGCGCAGTTGACTGGGATGTCAGAATCAGGTCTCTGATGTATCTAGCGTGGGATCCAGAGTAGATGTAGAGACCACGCCAGTGGGTTTGATTGGTCTAACGTTGGGTCTCAATTTATCAGGGCACTCATCGACGTGTGCTAGTTTGTGACGATCTTGACGCGGCCATGTCTATCAACCTGAGAGGTCTTTTCGTGACGAGAAATCATGTGAAAAGGTCCTTTGTAAGGCTGTTGCAGTGGTTTGCGCACCGAATCTACCCGTATGAAAACATTTGAGCAGGTAGATAACTCTCGAGGGAAAGCGACCTGTCAATATTGTATTCCAGTTGACACCGCAGGCAATGTTCGCGTAAATTCAGATAGTCGATGGACGTAGTCTGATTTGCCGAAATCGTTACTGCTCCGTGGTGTAAAAATTTCCCCTGGCAGATGCAATGTCGTGCCGTATACAAGTTCAGCTCGTTCTGATACCTAAGAGGACGAGCGGTAAGGTTTCATGTCAATGGTTGTTTTCATGTGCTCAAAGAGCACTTTTAAGTTAGCGATGGAATCGTTCGACCAAACCATTTGAAGCTGGGTGGTAGGCGGTAGTGCGTACGCGTTCCATATCAATCAGCCAGGTCAGTGAGAATAGTTATTTGGGGAAATTTTTCGAATGAAGCGTGGAATATATCGTCACGCGAATGAAAGACGTCTAATATTCGGTATGCATACATCGGAGTCTATTATAATAATACCATTCTTATCGTTATCCGTCATCTCAAGTTTTGACCAGAATATCATATATTAGAAAATATCAATATGAAAATGTGCAACCGACGTGGATAGATAAGTAATAGACTCACCGCAATTGGCTTCTTTGGAAGATTCTTTACTCTGCAATGATATTCTTAACAAATTTGAGGAAACTATTTCAGAATAATCAAATCTTGATGTTCTACCAAATATTATTTGCCCTCATAATGCATTTTTTCTTGTAAGAAACTTGTTCAGTGCGAAGCACAAGTACTAAGTGAGCTCGATTTTGATAAAAATTCGGATTACATCAAATCAACTACTGTTTATACTTATCAAAAAGTCACTTATAATGTTCACTCTAACCAATGTGAGAAATACGTTTTAAATGAAGCCACATCATTCATAACTCGGGGATATAAAGACCCATCATTATTTCTTGGTGGAGGATTGTGTTGAAAAATCTATGGTTCGAATTCTAGATTATAATGATTTTATTACGAAATCGACATGCTGATTGTATACAATTTCTTGACCCAGGTTAGTGTGTTCAGATTTCGTTTGCCAATTCCAATACTAATAAGCACATTCTAGATAATACCGAGTTTTCATCCAATACAATGTCGGGCAGACACAGTATGAACTTGAGAAGACGTACAATCAATTACAAACAATTAGACTACAAATTAAGCTGTGGCGGATGTAGTGATTGAATGAACTAATGATCCCTTTGTACTTGTTGAATGCTTGATTTCGAATTCCAAATACAATACATTTGTAGCGGTAAATAAATCCCCAAACTAAATAGCTCTGTAGGTTTTCGACATTGGATGCTGACCATATGTTTTAGTGGACTCATCTAGCTGAAGGCGCTCGGTCATGTATCCGCACCAGATCACGTGTGGTAACGCTGTGCTCAACATCTACCGCAATCGCTAGCCAGATTAGATCAGATATTTCCGATATATTGGTAATCGCCAAATACACTCTTCCGATTTCCTCGACTCTGTCTTTTGATTTCTCTCGGTGGGAACAAGGCATATCAGAAGGTGTTACTGGTAGAAGCGTTGTCAAACACTGAATACCTGTATCATCCCTCATTGGTGAAACCGTCGTGATCTGGTACACTTAATTGCAACTGTGAGTCTGTTCCTTTTTGGAATTTTTATATATCATTGCCTTATTTTTTTAAACATTGTGATTTTTTTCTCGTGTTTTTTTTCTTGGATATATATATTTTTTCTCTACGTTCATTATCGTACTTCATATTTCATCATGGCTGAACAGACACCCAAAGTACTCAAGCTTAAGACTTTGTCCCCGCCTTCGTTTCAACTCATGCCTTTCTGGCCCCACAATATCGAAGCCTGGTTCTGCTACGCAGAAGCTGACTTCTCCGAGCACGGCGTGATCGACACACGTGCACAATTCCTCGCAGTAGTCAAGGCACTACCGAGCGAATTCAACAAGTACGTAACACCTGTATGTTTACTAGTGATGTTTCTGAACCTTTTTGAACCATTTTGAACCTTACGAAATTCTAAAACGTTCGATTCTTAAACGAGGAGACCTAACCAATCAACAAAGGTTAGATCAACTCTTCAATAACATCGACCTGCAACACGGTTCTGCGACGGACATGTTGCAACGAATGAGCGAATTGATTGGCCTAAGAACTTTCGACGACGGCCTATTTAAACAACTTTTCTTGTCTAAACTTCCTCAACAGGTGTAAGCGGTTCTGGTCTCGTTTCAGAACAACGCCTTAGACGAGCTAGCTGCATCTGCCGATCGAATCTTCGAAATTACGAAATCGTCTACTACAGAGGTATTTTCAGTCAAATAAAAGCCTCACACGACTCAGAATGACATAACCGAGTTATGTCATACACTCACGCGTTATTTTAACCTTCGTACCGACCGTATTCGCTCACACAGCCCACGTAGAAGCATTTCACGTAAGCAATCTGTCTCTAGACCACGAGAAACGGATAACCCCGACTGGTGCTGGTATCATAACCAGTATGGAAAGTCTTCCAGAAATTGCAGAAAACCCTGCAATTTTCCCAACACGAAAACGACTGACTCGAAAAACAACTCGGGAAACTTCCAACCGTAGCCGGCGAACATAGACGTCTGTTGT